AAAGGCTTCAAGTCGTCTAACGTTAGATCACCAGAGGTGGGTGGTGATCAAGACCTACAGGTACATAGGCTTATGTTTCAGCGTGGGCATAATATTGGACGAGGGGTTATGAGTGTTACGGGTAATCGAGAAAGAAGAAAGTGTTTGGAACTAAGTAATCAAAACAGTTCTTTCCTTTCTTCTTCAGACGAGCCTTCATACTTCGTCAGTATACCGAACTCGTCAGTGGGTTAGATTGGTCTAGTTAAAGGCAAGCCCCGGGATAAAACCGGTGATAAGAGCGCTTCGTAATGATGACTGAGCTGCGGGACGGCCTGAAAGTGGAAAGGAAAGCTAGAGAAATCTTTGGGATCGCTGAAATTAAGGCCTTAACCTTCAAAAGGTCGGATGTGGAACGATGGCGAGGCAGGGCGGTCAAAGAAGACAAAACACGCGAGAGATCACGCCGTTCGAGAGAGCACGCCGATATCGAGGTGGGTGGGAAGCGTTGCAACGGGGGTCGATGGTTGCAGGCCCGTAAGGATTAGCGCCCTAACCGCGCAACTTTTGCGATCTAGGTGGTAGGGACCTTACAATTTCCCTCGCGGTATCCTTCCCACAAGTCGGGCTAATCCCAGGGTTTGCCTTTAAATTAATAGGTTAGTGATTTCCTGCCTGAAATTAGGCTTTTCCCGAGAAAAAATGCAGTAGTACGCAAGCGGGGAGCATGCATACAAGTATCGGGATGATTTGACAAGGCTGAAGCACTAAGGCCCGAGTATGCAGGATTGGTCCCTCCCAACACCATTGACCCCCACCTACAAATCAGTGCTGTTTCGTTTCGCCGCTACTGAATAGGCGGACTTTATTTTGGTCCTCATCAACGGTTTCTCCCCGTTTTTCTCATTACAAACGCTACACTTCACATCAATGTCATTTACAAGCGTATAACGCATCAGGTTCATCCCGGACTTGGTCTTAAGACAAAGGGAAAGACGGAAAAGACTTTGAAATTAATCATGAAGAGGGCATATAGTAGTAAAGTGATTGTATATAAATACAATGGTGTTTAAATGGAATGAAATATGTAAAAAATTATAGAATTCAAACATTAGAACCATCTGTCAATGGTCAACTGTCAACTATGTATGTATGAAATTGGAGGTGACCTGATCAGTGATGACCTGGCCTAATCGGAAAACTTGCTACACGCCTAGGTGCAACCCATATAGGCTGGTTCTCCTATTGATTCACTTCATAGCATCGCATCATTCATGTGAGCTTCATACTTTTCGCTCCCCATAGTCCAACCCTTCTCATTATGCTGATTTTCTAACCTACGTGCCTTCTATTGATAGCCGCTCCAATGGATTTTGCATGGAACCTCAGTGGTTCAGTCATGTCTCTCCAAAATTTCAGGCACGTAAAGCGACCTCGAGATGATCGCCACGATGGCGTACATCATCAGAAATTGGGAGACATATGGAAATGAGTTACTGAAGAAGTTCAACGATCAACATTATCTCCTAGCGGCTCTCAAAGGTCTCAGAAATGGTGTCGTGTAAGCTAGAATTCTTTGTGGGCTCTGATATCACCAACTTATTTCGGTGTCTTCAGATAATTTTCAGTTCGGATGCTCCTAATTCAGGTATGGAGCCCGAATTCGTGCCCCGCATGCGCTTGTGATGGTGTTCCTTTTCGGCGAAGGAACGTAAGTCTATTGTATATGGTTTTGTTGATATCAATAGTATCTTTGATATCTCTCCAGAGTTTTGCTAAATTATTCCCCCTGCTACCAATAACTAATTCAATTCTCGGCTTGTCTAACAGGCCTGTTGCCTTTCATTTGAAGCCTTATTGACGAATAAAAGGATAGCGCTCTGAAATGACGTGAAGCCTCTGGGGGTTGAACGAAATATATGGTTGTCTGAGCGTATAGAGAGGACAGAAACGAATCACAAATTTTTATTTGTTATGAATAATTCCTCCGCTATAGAACATCCTATCTTCTTTTATTGGCTAGGTTAGCTTGAACTCCCAACAGACATTGAATGAAAAGAACGCAAGAAATTAGGATTTCTTTTTTTTTTATTTGAAGATGTCTAAAGTCACCATGGCGCGCCTGATCGCATGAAGGCTTGCCCTTGTCCACTACTCATTTGGTAGCTCGCCTCGAACGATACAAATTCCGTAAAATGGGACTCAGCCATGATATTTTCGTAAGAGTGAGCGCACCGCCGCCCACTACCTCCTGCACCAAACTGAGGGCTCTTACAAGCTTTTTTGTCACTGGGGAACATCCAACCCGCGAAATTAATTGATTTTTTCACATCAAGGCCTTTTTCACCTACGGGAAGATGGACCTTTCAAACGCGGCCTCAACTTTCGAGATCACTGTTCACGGCCCTCTCTCTCAATCCGTGTTTTACCACCATATTCTGAAAAGAGAGTTCTTTCAATTACGGTATGTCTCACATTGTTTCATCCCTCTCTTTCCAATTATAGGTTCGTCGAGAAACTGCAAACGATCTCCCGTTTAACGAGAATCCACGCCATGAATCTCGCAAAGTTCGTATTTAGCTACAAGCTGATCAGAGGAATCCTTCAAAAAATGGAAGGTAACGACTGACTTAATTTAGGCTCAAGGACAGAGAGCATGGCAAATTGACTGGGAATAAACAAGAGCTGCTAATAGGTGCAGCAGTGAAGAAAAAACTATGCAGCAGCGGTGGGCATCAGTGCTGCAGGTCTCGAGCCCCTGTGTGCGTTCTGGGGCCGTATGTCCTTTCACCAGGCGTCGCTTCGGATCTTCTTTGCCTTCCCAATCGGAATCGCCCTAAATAAGTCCTGTTTGTAATGAGTTTCCGTAACGTAAGTATACGCTACAAGTAAGGAGCCTGTGTCGTTGATAATAAAAAAAATTCAGAGGGGCTCTTTCTCCCACCCTGGAAGGAGGATAGCGTACGGCTCTCGACTAGCGAAAATGGCATTACTTGCGGAGTCAAAAATCTCACTCGCGGAAGGGGTTGGCGCAATAATTAATCGCAGAATGTCTCCTCAAGAAACTTGATAATTAAATAGATAAACTTACCAGGCACTTGGATTTGAGAACTATCGCAAAGAGAAGTAAAACTCCTATGAACTACCAACGACGCGTCAAGGGAGATTTCATTAGGTCAAAGGTCGAAGAAGGGGAAATTGCCTGGTGGGAAAACAGCAGACTCCCTAAAAGTGCGGACCGGCACGGAATCGCAGCGAAGGATATCCCGGATTCCCGGCGATCTATGGCCGTCCCGCGGCGCTATCGACGCGGAACGCCCACCGACTGGCTAACCCCCCGCCGCAGGTTTAGAAGAGAGAGCATTAGCAATGAAGAAGGTCGTTTTGTTGATTTTTGCATGGGAGTCGCATCAGTGCGGAAATCAATGGGCAAGGAATGATCCCATTTCTCGGGTTCTTGGCCATTTCTCATGGTTTTTTCTCCTCACGCCGGCACCAACGACCACGACCACCTCTACTTTATTACAATGGGCTTCTAATCGTAAACTCCGCCTTTAGTCTCGATTTATTGTATGGACTGAGTGGATTGCATAAGTCTTTGGAAGCAGCCAAACTTCGTATTCTGTCACAATACAGCTGTTGTTTACGTTTTGTTGTTTATTTAGTTTTGCTTTCAGGACGAGCCCAGGAATGGCACTCCTTTGTTGCAGCCTTCGTCATGGGTTATTTTGTTTTCGGTGATAATAATGCTGTAAATATGCAGGTCAGCAAATGCTAATCCTTTATCATACATATGATTCACTTTACCTTGCATTTTTTGGAGGGATCATTCAGTTGATTACAAACATACGCTGGTCTTTGGTGTATGCATCTCACAGTAAATTAGAGCTACCACGTTGGATTTGCAGCCTAAACGGAGATAGGATGTATGATGAGGAAACTTCGATCGCTTGAATTGATCCAAAGCGACGCCGCCAAATCAAATTTGTGGGTTTCGAGTTGACTAAAAATGAAAAAAGAAACAAAGAAAACGTCGATGAAGCCTTAAACAACGACCATGAAATAAGGAAGGGGCGGGGCCAGACGAGTTGTACGAACTTGCCTGCTCCACGGCTCAATTAACTCGCGTAGTTGAGTTAGCCGCTCCGCCGTAAAATG